GTGCCAGTTGTCCGATGAAAAAGTGCCAGTTGTAATGGTTCGATTTACTTCCTCATTACTTCGATTATTCAGGTAGTGAATTTTTTTGTGGTGAGTGGTGGTGTTTCGCAAGAGATCTCCAACAAACTATCGGGGAATTTCGAATCGACGATTGTGGCAGTCTGAACAGCAGCCGTTCCTCAACATGTTCCCATGAACGCGGCTTATCATCAGCGGTCGAGACCGTGGTCGAAGCTCCCCTCTTGCTTCCCATCGCTACGTATTTTCTCTCAAATATTCTCCCGAATGTTCTGCACTTTCTCTAGGTACATGAGGTTGTCATAGGAAAGACACGTTGATTCTCCGTAGTGCTTCTGTAAAGTATAAGAATGAGCAGTGGGGCAGCGGTTGAAAAGTCATAACGCATTTACATATTTCTGGAATCGAGCCTCATTCTCTGGGTGATGAAGAGGGAGGGGGGTGGTTTACGGACAACTTGATTTTTCCTTAATGGTCCTGCCGCGATGGCTAGAACAGGCGATTAGAGAACGGCTGAATGCCCTAGGATTAAGCCTTGGAGAGGAGAGGGACCCGGTTTACGGACTACTTGAACTTTCTTCCGTGGTCCTGCACGGAAGTGGTGGAGGCACAGCAGTTGGAGAACGTTGCTGGCTCACTCAAGTCGCAGAAGGCGCGCGGTCGAGAGCCTTAAGACTGGGCCTTGTAGAGGGAGGACTTCTGAGGTGCGGTGACCCAACTATGTCAAAAGTTGAATGGTCTGGTGAGATCAAAATGTTCACAAGCCGTTGATAAGGTTGAGAGAGGCAGACGAAAAGATGGAACTGAGAGCGACTTAAAGCGACTGGGTTCAGGTCCGTCAGTCGACCGGGGGAGGGGGGGCGGGGCAAGCTGGGAAAGAGTTTAACTTTCCACAGTGTTGGAGGTGAAGTAGTCACACTTGGGTACCTCCAGACTGGAGGTTCTAAATGGAGATGAAGAGTTTATTTGAGTCTATGAGAACCATTCATACAGGTGTGCTTTCTACTCGATGAGGCTGGGCGCCATTATGAATTACGCGCATTAGGTGCAAGTCCGAGCTCAACGAGGTCCCCCGGACAGGACGTGGACCAATAAGACGTTGTCCGAAATGCTGGTCGGCAGGAGTCCTGCACATTCGGAGCTACTGCCTCTAGAAAATCGATGCACGAGTGAATCTGCTGAAATAATTGGAGGCTAGAGGTCTCATTCCTTCTCGACCGGATAACACTGTGGGTTCGCAGGCGGTGAGTAGTATCGTGAAACAACGGCTGCGTGTACTTATGGAGGAGGATCCCAAGAACTATTCCTCTACGGTGCCACACAGGCAAACGACAAAGCCCATGTGTAGCCGGAAAAGAAAGGCGTTGTCTCGGCACACTAACACCTGAGTACGTGCACCAGGGAAGCGTGTGAATCCGTGATTTGAAATAGGCATCATCTAGATCCTTTAGATTCATAGTTTTTTCTAGTCACTGATTCGTACTTCAAGTCGGACCGAAACATTTTTGTCAGTCTTCACCTAAGCATCTTTGAATACTGTGTCCATCAGATGCCCGTTTTCGAGCTATCGGCCGTCGACAGACTCCTTGCATTCTCTCTATCAACGCACATGAACTCTTGTGCATTCATCGCTCGGGCGAGGCAAGCGCAGGATACAAGGACATGAAGCGACCACTTGCATTCAATGTGGATTAACCCCTCCGTCATATAGTCACCGAATTCTATTCAAATTCGAGTCTAAAGCATTCCAATACATCGTGGCCTCTGCGATGACTTTCGGCCTCCAGCAGGAGTACGAGCCAGTACTCTCACTGTCCTAGGGGTCTGTAGCACATTAACCTTGCATCAGAGAAACGGAAGGTATGCTTGACCCTGGGGAAGATCAATCCAGTTTTAGGTCGGCGAACCATGAGCGCACTAGCGGCGACACTGACCGCTACTTCACAGCTGCTCGATATCAAAAAGATTAGCCAAGATATCTGAGGATCAGCACGGCGCTTTTGAGCTACAGCTATTTTCTATCAATCTAATTTATTGAAGGGATAACGCTAAAGATAAAGCGGGCTTTGGCGTCCACAGCCGTATCTGGTGGTGAGCCAGGCGCTCAGCCTACATTTACCTCACGTTTTGCCCATGAAAAATATGCAGTGATACCGCAACATCGATTCCGTTGGTCCACTTTGTCTCTGGGCGTTGAGAATGAGGTTATTCTTTGCGATTATGTTCTAATAGCAGGGACAATCAAAGGCTTAGGTCGCGATGGAAATGGGTGTTGCTCGACTCGAAACTAAAAAGGAAATCGCGATGAGATTTTCATTGAGGAAAAAGTCAAGGGAATCTAGAATATACTGAAATCAAGGGCTTTTTCTCCTGTGAGGCCAACCGTGGCACGATGGGGAAGATAGTGCGACGAGGAGAGAGAGAGTACGCAAAGAGCACGACGTATGAGAGGACGCAGACACGCTATGTTGCGAGCGAGTGAAAATCGCAGCGATGCAGCGGTCAAGGTATTTATTGGCGGCGCGCTTCCACACACATTTCGAGTCGCCGCAGTCAGAGGTCTCGTGTGTGATAACGCGGTATTACTACTCTCTATTACACCATTTCCACACAAATTTTTTTTTTGCTTTTTTTATGCTTTTGTATTATTCAGTTAACCTTCCTTACAGTCAGCTAACGTTTATCAGGACACATCACCACATATAAATAAACAAACAAATAAATAAATGAATAAATTTCTTGATAACGAACGATGCCTCTGTTTTTACGGGAAGCAAAGGAGGAACTCACGTGAAAATCTGCAAAGTTTTTACATTTCAAAAACACTTTCACTAACAGATGTAATATGTACATGTAATGTGCGTCGCCAGCTGTTCGTCTAGTTTACGAACACCAAATGATCTCAGACCTTATGAAGCATTTCTGAAAGTCGCTTGTTCGATTCCTGGACCTGAATATGCGCACTCTCTATCCCACGGCGAAACATGTCAACATTGCAAACTCAGGAGCACAGTAAACTTTGAAAAAATCGATATCATGTGTGTTTTTTGGTATATGATGGCGCGTTTGTTTTTTTGAATCTGCAATTACGACACATCTCACTACGGGAAACAGAGCATGGGTACGGTAGCGGTTAACAGTGATATGATCTCTCAGTATTGTGCTGTCCCGGAGCCTCATCAGGACCTAAATGTTGTATAACACAAAGAGGCACCAAAATTTATTTCAAAAGAATTCCAAAAGTTCACAAAATTTTGATAATTCTTTTGGAATGGAAATTGTACAATAAAAAAATGAAATTGAAAATAAAAAAAAGAAAATTTGTGAACTTTTGGGAATTCCTTTGGAATGAAATTCTGGTGCCTCTTTGAGTCATACAACGTTTAGTGCTCTGATCACATGTTATACCACCAATGATCACGTACCCTCCCTTTCAAAAACGAGAAGAGCGTCGGGTGCAGACCATACACCACAAGTGACGACGGCCTCCAAGTAAATCTGGTTAGTAGTGGTTCATAGTGATAGCTGATTTTTGGTAAATGATAGTTGTAATTAGTGACAACTGATAGAATACAACTGCAACAGGCTAATCATTTCATTGGCAGAAAACATTTACATTTTGTGGAGGCCGTCGTCACTTGTGGTGTATGGTCTGCACCCGACGCTCTTCTCGTTTTTTGAAAGGGAGTATATTTCCCTAAATGAAAGGCACCAAAAGAGAGTCAGGGGATCATCGTAGGGTCCCATCTTGGGAATGAATCTAATATTTGGGATAATGACTGCCTACTACCCTATGGATGTTCAGTGCGAATGATTTCTTACACTTTATTGTTGTAAAAGTCGAAGAGGATCAGAGACAGTGGTGAAGGTGGTGTGAAGGTGGATAAAGTGAAGCAAAAACGAGAAGCAATGAATTAACTCTTCGCCATTCGTTTCTTCTTATCTTTACAGCGTGCTTTAGCGAAAGCAGCGGCACTTCCTTGACCGAAAGATTCTGTCGTCGACCGAGCGACTTCTGTTTCTCTCTCGTTTTTCTTTCTTTTCGGCCGATTTTCGATCATTACTCTCCAGATGTTTTTTCCTCGTTTGTTAAAATACCATTGGGCGGCCGGGACTGGTTTTTTTGCTCATTTTCCTTTGATTTTTACACCGAACTAGCAGTAGCAAAGTAGTGATCGATTTCGCTTACGTTTCCAACTTTCGGTACCTGTTCGTCAGCAATTCACTTTGATCCGATCTTAATGACACATTACAGAGTAATTCATTGTGACGTACTCGTTATTACGCCACAATATCGAACAGTTGATTTCATCAAGTGAAAGTCCAATTTTGCCGTCGCCGAAGCCGCCAGCGTCGCCGCCCACGGACATCTGTATCAATGGAAACCGGTTAGTACGAAGTCATTACAAGCACAGCATTCGCCGAATATTAGCTCGCATATTCAACATCAATCCTGCACATTCTCTGAATTGCTGTGAGCTAAAAGAGCATTTATCACTCCACACTTTACCATGCGAGCTAGCAACGACGCTATTTTCGGAGTACGGTCACACTCTTTTCGTGCAGACACACACTTGCATCGAAATTCGCGGTGAACACGACATTCGTGACGTGTGATGGGTTTTCTGAGCGGTCTTTCCTTTCTCTGCGCTCTTTGTCGGTTGGAATTTATACGAATGTTTGCTGAATATTTTAAAAACATTTCGCCTTAATTAAGTCAACCCATTAGCGCAGCCGAGTAGTTGGTGTTCCAGCGTGTCATGTAATCGATTTCGTCCTGCTGCTGTCGGGAAGGCGCTGTCGTTTTCTTCTTGAAACTTGTTGTGTAGAATTCTTCAGTAGCGTTTGTAGAAGACCAGAACCAGCTTCAGGAAAACGTACCTAATCATTTATGAAGCCCGTCATTGTCTAGTGTTTTCCTTGGATTGCTATTGAATGTTCTTTCTTGTTTCCTCTTACAGTCTAGGAATATGCTTCTGTAAATGTTTACAGTCACCGAAATGGTTACGAAAACGAAGAAGAAGACGCCTCCACGTAAGGCCGCCGTCCCTGCAACCACTATTAAGGAACACAAGGAGAAGAAAGTGGAATTCAATGGAGTAGGACTGAAGGCTAACAAGTAAGTTGTTAACAAGTTTTTTTTACTCCGCTTTCTCTCTTTGCTGGAATTCTGTCATTTTTTCACAATTCATTACATTTCAGCCATCTATTCTATCTCATTTATTAGGGGTTAGGCTCCGTGCGCACCTTGGGGCGAACTACAGAATAGACAATTCCTAAAAATTCTGCTGATAGCATTCTAATGCTGTCCGATTCTCCTGATCTACTCATATTCTTCTTGAGTTTTTTGGCTTCTCATTCTGTTTGTTCCAAGCAGGCGAGAAACTGTGATGAAACCTCACCTCTTCCTTATAAATTCACAGCGTTACCTCGCACCTTCTCGCAGTGCCCTGCAGAGCAACATCGCTAAGTTTGCTGCGCTGACTTTGATTTCACACCAATTTTCTGGGCACATAACATGCGAGCTCGAAATAAATTCTCTCAAATGGGAAAGTAGAGTCAATTTTTCTGCGCATCGGCAAAAGGAAAAGTAGGATGTGAAAGAAAAATCAAGAATAATTTCAAAAAGAATATTAAAAAAATCATAATGCTGCATATGGGAGGTGCAGTCTTGGTAGTAGTCTAGTACGGCTACGTGCCCAATGGAAATTTTCGTGAGAAACAGCAGTTCACTTTAAACTTTCTTGATGATTTGTTTTTATGCGTCTGACAGGAGGATGTTGTTAATGGAATGTTTACATCGGCTGTCTTCGACCTGTCTATCGTTGTCAAAGGCTTAGACACGGCTCAATGCCTAACAAGCACGCGCTATCCCATCGAACGCCCCTTTTTCAACACTTCTGGAAACGTCTAAATCGCACACGAATTGAAAGACACCACGTTCTATCTTTGGAGTGCAGTGTAGCAGCCCTCCCAATTAATATATCAGCAGCAAAAGGATGTTGTTTTGTTCTCCTGTTACATCTACAATGATGAAAGCAACACTTTACAACCACATATAATTTGGAAAAGAGCGTCTTGTGCTCGATATTATGGCTGTGTCTACGTTTGATACTGATATCCAGCAGAGTGGCAGCATATGCTGCTGATTTGCTACTCTAGCTGGGCGTAGCGCTACGCTGCATCCTGAAGCGGAATTCAAATGCCTGCTTACTGTCAGAGTCTAGGCGTTTCTGAAAGGAATCGGATAGACGGGGATAGGTGATTGAGGCACAGTGGGTTTTTTGAGCCTTGAACTATGTATAGGCCTTTAGCATTTACGGAGAGATCGAAACCTTGGAGCGCACAGGCCTTCCAACTCTCTTTCAAGCAAAATCTTCTATAGAATGTAGCCTTTTTATTTCGTTCTTGTTTCGTTCGGGTCGAAATGTGTTGGCTAACTCTAACGAAGTCATCATTCAGCGCATCCAATTAAATGAGGTTCCCAACATGCATTTGAGAAGATGTGCGAAGTGGGCTGCTCATTACTGCAGTCTGACTCAAGACGAATACCCGAATTCCGCATGGAAGATATTGAAGAATGCCAGTAGTCTTAGAATTATAAGCACTATGACGAAAGTCATTGAGGAACCAGGGCAGAAAAAAGAACCTCTGGGTTTGGGAAATGCGAAATCAGTGAAAGCATGCTTCATGAATCGCATAAGAGACTCATAAGAATTTCCGCATATCATGTTTAGCAATGATTATCCTTTTTTGATTCATACTGCTTTCTCTTTTACTAGTATGAAATATGTTCCGCCTACTTTAGGTATTATAATGATTACCCTTGACTATCCAGTACACGATTGAATTGACCTGCTGCAATAACCTTTTCTTTGACATCCTTTAATACAGTACTACAATGTAAAAACTACTTTTTGATCAAGTGGTGAATTTCTTCTTTGCATCTGTGGAGAATCTCAGAAGTAATTTGATTTCTCTTCAAATTATGTTCTTTATGGAAGTGTCCTCCTGCCTCTTTAGTCTTTTAGATTGTAAGGATGATTTTATGTCTTCTTATTTCTCCATTTACAGTGGTCATGTGAACGGAGGTCTGAGGCCGTCGCCTTCCACTAACACGCTTCCACTAACACCTTGAACAGACTCGCTAGGGAAAAGATTGTTTTGTGGAGACAACCTTTCACAACAGTGTACTATGCGCTGATGGAGGGACTCAATTTAGGTTTTGAGTTTTTAGTTGGGTAAGTCACTCAGTCAACCTGTGATTGCACTATTTTTTTGCAAACCTGAAGCAAAACTCTTTTGGTCCTTCTGTTCGTTTTTTTTGGACGGTAATCAGTAATCATTTTGTTTCAGAATGCTTAATCGTAAAGCTTTATTGTTTGCACTTTCCGTCATGTCATGCTTATTCTACTATGCTTATATTACACCTGGACATCATCAGCAATACATTGCTGTGGTTGAAAAGAAAATAATGTGGTGAGTCTCGCATAAGTTATCGAGTTTGACATCAATATATAACGAGCTTCTCAAAAATTGACGGACGTGCCATAGTACCAGGTGATTGCTAGCATAGTAAGCTTCAAGTAGAACAAGGGCTCGGGAGCAGTCTACCGGTTTGAATACTCACAAGGAATGCTCAACTGGTCAGTCCGGCCATTTGTAATGAGGTGTAGTCCGCTGGACTCGTCTTGCGACGCTGAGCTCAAATCCGTTTTCGTTATCTGCGGAACGATTCTCTGAAAGAAGTTACGAGGGATTCTTCTCACTATGGCTTTCTCACTGTGGCATCCTCTACATTCCCTATCCCCACGGTTCGCATAAGAAGAGCCAGAGAGCATTCACACAGTTGGCCAGGTGGCCTAGTGGATATCTCCTAGACTCATATGAGAGAGGTCACATGATCGGATCCTTGGAACCGCAAAGTTTTTGCATTTTTTCATGGCTTCTCATACGAGCCCAAAAAGTGTCTATATTTGGTTATTTTGTTGATTTGCGTCCCCACTTGACATGTGGCTGAGACAGACTTTGGAATTTTCCTCTCGTCCGTCTTTTTAGGTTTTCTATTATGATGAACTTTGACACACGGGACAAAACACAAGGACACAGGCTCGTAAATATACAAAATTTCAATAACTTGCGAGCATATGTGATAGTTCTTCACATGTGATCAAAACAAAACAGCTTTTCGCAGTGTGCACAGGAATAAAGAAAGATCTAGGGGGATGTAGAGGGTGCCACAGTGAGAAAGCCACAAAGAGAAGAATCCCTCGTAACTTCTTTCAGAGAATCGTTCCGCAGATAACGAAAACGGATTTGAGCTCAGCGTCGCAAGACGCGTCCATTGGACTACACCTCATTACAAATGGCCGGACTGACCAATTGACCATTCCTCGTCAGTGCAAAATATGGATGAATTGTTGTTGTTGTGACCAATTTTTTATGTTACTGTCTACCGCTTAATCTTCTATGAAGAGCGAATCTAGACTATCAGTAAAAGAATATTGAGCTAGCCTGCGTTCGCCTTGATTTGTTTTACGTCAGAATTATATCGTTGTTCAGGTGGGGATGGTGGGTATTTCTTGGTGTGTTGTCCTCAATTGGATTAGGCTCTGGTTTGCACACGTTTCTAATTTACTTGGTGAGTTCATCGATTTTTTTTCTTGACTTCAGCTTTATATTTGACTTTAGGTATTCTTAATTTTTTTTCACTTTTTCTCCTTCGAAAGGTTGGAATCTATTCCGATTTACGTTTAGGGACCTCACATTGCTGCTGTTACGTTAGCCGCGTACGAATGTAACAGCCTCAACTTCCCAGAACCTCCGTATCCGGATAGGTTAGTTACTTGATTGTTGTAATTGGTTTTGCTCTGCTTTAGCATTTGTTCTTTTCTTCGTGTTAGGTAGGTTGGCTGAAGTAATGTCCATTGACTCGTACCATATTGTTGGGTGTAGCTTTCATAGTTTGGACTTCTAGGCGACGTGCCTTTTCCAAAGTTTTC